CAGAATTAGAGCAAGGACCAGGATTTTCTGACTCCTGCAATGTCGGAGCTCTTTCCATGATACTTCCCTTTTCCTTCCTTCTCCATTCGTGTGATTGTTAATTCAGCAAACACTTGCTGAGAAATATTTTCTGCTTTTGTGGAGCTCATATTCTAGCAGAAGGAGACAGACAATAAATAAACTAGCTATTTTTAGATAATGGTAAGTGCTGGGAGCATAGAAGTGGGGAAATGTAGTAGAGTCTATAGGGGTGCGGGAAGGCAAGGGCAGGGGAGACTTCCTAGGGATGTGCTACGGGTTATGAAGGACCAAGACCAACCTTGTGTGTGTGCGTTGTAGGGAATGGGGAGGGCTAGGTAGAAGAAATAGCAAGTACAAAGACTTTGAGGCAGGAGAGGGTTCGGTGTGTTCCAGGAACAGAAAGACGCCGCTGTGGCTGCAGCACTGAGTCGTCGGGAGAAAGAAGTAGAAAGGGAATTCCACAAAGAAGGTAGGAGCTGGGTCATACAGGATCTTATCACTTGATGTCAGGATCCTATATTTATCCCAAAGACAATGGGAAACCATTGAAGGATTTTTAAGCTGAGAGTTGATACACTCTGATTCACGGTTTTGTTTTGTTTCATGTTGGAGGGAGGCAGGAGTGGAAACAGAGTGAAGACTAATTTGGGAGGGCATTTTCGGGTCAGATATCAGTAAGCTACTCAACGGAAGAATACAAAGATGAACAATGTGAATGGAAAGAAAGGCAGAATGGTACGAGATGTCATTCTGTCTTCTGGTTCTGATGAGGCATGCTGGTAGCTATTACTGTGTAACAGATCACCCCAAAATTTAGTGACTCAAAACAAGAATGGGTGTGGTGGCTCACGCCTGTAATTCCAGCACTTTGGGAGGCCAAGGGGGGTGGATCGCCTGAGCTCAGGAGTTCAAGACCAGCTTGGGCAACATGGCGAAACCCCGTCTCTACAAAAAATACAAAAATTAGTCAGGCATGGTGGTGCTCACCTGTAGTCCCAGCTACTCAGGAGGCTGAGGCACAAGAGTCCCTTGAACCAGGGAAGTGGAGCTTACAGTGAGCTGTGTTTCTGCTACTGCACTCCATCCTGGGAGACAGAGTCAGACCTCGTCTCAAAACAAACAAATAACAGAAAAACCAAGACTCATTTTATTTTGTCATAATTCTGTAAGTCAGGGGTTTGGGCAGGGTTCCGCTGAGCAGTTCTTCTCCATGTAGTCATAGCTAGGGTCATTCATAGCTGTATTCAACTGGTGGATGAGCTGGGCTGGTAGGTCAAGGAGGTTCCATTAATAGGTCTGGCACCTTGGTGCTTTTCTTTATTTTCACATGACTTTTTCCTTTTTTTAAATCAGGCAACCTCCTGAGCCGGAGCAGGCTCAGAGAGACTCCTACCTTCGTGCTCTTCTACATGGCCTCTCTCTCCATGTGGGCACCTTGGGCTTCCTCATAGTATGGTGGCCTCCAGATGGTCAACCTTCTTATATGGTGTTAGGCTTCAAAGCGGAAGCATTCCCAAAGGAGCAAAAGTGGAGACTGCATAGCTGTTAAGGCCTGGCGCTGCAAAGTACCCAGCACACCTTCTGCCACGTAGTATTGGTCAAAACCAGTCACAGGGCTGGCCCAGACTTAAGGAGAGGAGAAACAAACCCAAACCGTATCTCTTGGTGAGAGGAATGGAAAATTATATGCTCCATCTTTAGTCTACCATACTTGGCTTCTGGGAACTGAATAGCCCTAACCATGCTGATGGCGCTGACCCACTTTTAAATCTAAACCACAGTATACTATGTTGGAACAATTTATAGGTCTTTATTCCCCACTGAGTAGAGAGGGCCTGGAGAACAGGAGGTGGTTTCTTTTTCTTTCCATTTTTTTTTTCCCCATGTGTTTTCAGAATGTAACACATACAAGGCATTCAGGGAATGCTACCATTGGATGCACACATCACATAAGCATTCACTGGTTGTCAAAACATGGTGTATATAAGAATCCCTGGGAGCTGTTAAAAATGCGTGCAGATTTCTGAACAAGACCTGGGCCCAGGCCCTCTGAATCCAAATCTCTAGGGCAGAAGTTTTCAGTCTTGGCTGCACATGAAAAGATACGAGTGCCAGGCCTTCACCCCAGAGACCCAGTTTCTGTCGATCTGGGGTGAGCTCAAACACATTTAAGTCTCCTCAGATGATTCTAATGTGAGGCCAGGGTGAAGAACCAGTGCCCTAGGATTAGAACCAGCCATCTCTGCTAACCTCCCCAGATGATTCTGATGCAGGTGGTCCATGACAGGGTGACCAACACCCTTGGCTTGCTCCGATTTTAGCACTAAAAGTCGCACATCCCGAGAAACTCCTAGTCCTGTGCAAGCCAGATGGTTGGTCATTATCAATGGACCACTATTGAAAAAAAATTCTAGATGAGGCAGTGAAAGCCTTTTTTGAAAAATGCCCACAAGTATCTATTGAAAGCCATGATTTTGTCTCCTTACTTAAGGGCCTGAGCCAACTGTCCTTGAATTAAGGGGTAAGTGCCTCACGGTCACTGTTTTCCTTCAGCCTTGTGCTCTGGTGTGCTAGGTCTGTTAACTCATACAAATAATGTGTCTGTCTTTGAGAATTCTTTCAGACTATATCCCTTAGTGCACACACCACAGCTTTGAAAGCCCAATCACAACCAACAAAGATGATGTGTTTAGGATAATACGAGATACAGGATGAAATTCCTATGTCTTCTACACCAGTGTGTATTATTATCACCATCACAAATACTTATAACAGGGTACACAAATATATGTAATATGTTACATAGCTGTGGGGCGGCCCAGACTCTGGTCTGAGATTCCTGGGTTTGTGCTCCAGCTTTGCTGTCACTAGGTATGTAATCATGGATGCCTCTTTTTTGCCCTAGTTGTTCACCTACAAAATGGGAATAATAAAGATGTCTTCTTCACAGAGCAGATGGGAGGATCCAGAAAATAATATAAGCGAAAGTGGTTTTGTAGAGTGAGAAGGCTGAGGTATTATGATGGTCTTTGAATGGGAGGGACTTGAAGAAATGATTCCGTGAGAGGCCCTGCACGTGACTGGGGTTCTCTCTGGTCCCCCTACCCTGAACCATGGCCCGCCTGGGAAGTTTCAAGGAATAAGCTTTTGACACAGAGTGGACCATGGAGAGAGCTCAGGAAGCAGAGTTGTCTACCTTAGTTGCCCTAACTGCTGAGGTCAAGTGTGCTTTGCTTCAGGAAAAAGCAAAGCTTTTGGAAATGGGCGTTTGTGAAGGCATTTTTTGTTTTTAAATCTTTTGCCTATTTATTCCAAGTGTATCCTCAGAAACGTAGCCAAAAGAAAACAACCACAACCACAAACCTGTAATACTGAAAAGCCAGTTCTTAATTTCTGTAGCTAAAAAAGCATCCTTTCAGGCTGTAACCGCAGAGAGATTGCTGCAGGCCTCTGACATAATGACAGTTTGCAGTGTGATGAAGGAGGCTGCTAAGCTCTGTGGCCCAGAGGCCCAATCCTGGCCTCTCCAATTACCCAGGCGCCTAGCAACACCACCAAAAGTCTCCATGCCAGGCCCAGCTGGGCAGCAATTGGCTACACCCAGCACAGCCCACTGCCCAGCCTCCTGAGCTTCCCAGCCACATCAAGGCTGGTCTCAGCCCCGGCAGGGGCCCGCCTGGTACCAACGAATGGGTGGGGCCAGCTGTTTAGAAAAAACAATTCACATATTTAAAAGCTCCCTGTTTGAATGCAGTTAGGCAAGCGGCACAAGCTCACAACTAAAAGTGTCTGCCATGGAAAAGGAGTTGTTGTAAGGGTGTTGGCCTTGCCAGGGCCCTTCTGGGTGAGGCGAAGAAGGGAAGGTGAGCCTAATTTAGTCTTCCGGCTTCTCAAAGAGGCAAATGCTTTTCCCGTCTTGGACGCTTGTGTCCACCTAGAGTCCTCGTGGTAGCAGTGGGGATGGTGGGAATTCCCAGCCCCATCTTCCCCCAGGGGTCATGACCTGCCACATCCTCTACAGCTTCCTTTCGGGAATTCCCAGGGACTAGTCTGGGACTGTCTAGGCAGCTGGAGGAAAAAGAGGGAGATAAGAGTACAGGAAAGGATGGGATGACAATAACCAAAAAGAAGACTCACACTTCTTTTGTTTAATTTTTTTTTAAAATTTTTATGTATTTAGTTTTTGGAGACAGGGTTTTGCTCTGTCACCCAGGCTAGAGTGCAAGTGGCACCATTGTAGCTTGCTGCAATCTTGAACTCCCTGTTTCAAGCGATCCTCCTGCCTCAGCCTCCCGAGTACCTGGAAGTGCAGCTGTGCACACCACTGCCCCTGGCAAACTTTAATTTTTAAATTTCTTTTTGTAGGGAAAGGCTTTCACTGTGTTAGCCAGGCTGGTCTCAAACTCCTGGCCTCAAGCAATCCTCCCGCCTCTGTCTCTCAAAGTGCTAGGATTACAGGCATGAGCCACCAGGCCTGCCCCATTCTTTCTTATTTAATTTTTTTTTTTTTTTTTTTAATGTGGCCAGGGCGGTGGCTCATGCCTGTAATCCCAGCATGCTGGGAGGCCGAGGTGGGCAGATCACCTGAGGTTGGGAGTTCGAGATCAGCCTGACCAACATGGAGAAACCCCGTCTCTACTTAAATACAAAATTAGCTAGGTGTGGTGGCACATGCCTGTAATCCCAGCTACTCAGGAGGGTGAGGCAGGAGAATCTCTTGAACTTGGGAGGCAGAGGTTTCCGTGAGCTGATATTATGCCATCGCACTCCAGCTTGGGCAACAAGAGCAAAACTCTGTCTCAAAAAAAAAAAAAAGACTGGGCGTGGTGGCTCATGCCTGTAATTCCAGCACTTTGGGAGGCCAAGGGGGGCGGATCATGAAGTCAGGAGATCGAGACCATCCTGGCTAACACGGTGAAACCCTGTCTCTACTAAAAATACAAAACAATTAGCCGGGCGTGGTGGTGAGCGTCTGTAGTCCCAGCTACTCGGGAGGCTGAGGCAGGAGAATGGCGTGAACCTGGGAGGCAGAGTTTGCAGTGAGCCGAGATCGTGCCACTGCACTCCAGCCTGGGTGACAGAGCGAGACTCCGTCTCAAAAAAAAAAAAAAACCAATTTTACGTTTTAAAATCTTAAATTTATTTATTTATTTTTTTTTGAGACGGAGTCTCGCTCTGTCGCCCGGGCTGGAGTGCAGTGGCCGGACCTCAGCTCACTGCAAGCTCCGCCTCCCGGGTTCCCGCCATTCTCCTGCCTCAGCCTCCCGAGTAGCTGGGACTACAGGCGCCCGCCACCTCGCCCGGCTAGTTTTTTGTATTTTTAGTAGAGACGGGGTTTCCCCGTGTTAGCCAGGATGGTCTCGATCTCCTGACCTCGTGATCCGCCCGTCTCGGCCTCCCAAAGTGCTGGGATTACAGGCTTGAGCCACCGCGCCCGGCCTAAAATCTTAAATTTATTTATTTATTTTTGAGACAGGATCTTGCTCTGTTGCCAAGGCTGGAGTAAATTTTTATTTTTAACTCTAATCCCATGACAAATAAAGAAGTACCTTTCTATAACACTTGCTGTGTAGAAATCACAGGGGCTGTGGAACATGCGGGGGCTTTGGAGTCAGGCGCCCGGACTCTTGTCCCAGCCTTCCCCTCATTAGCTGTGAGACCTTGAGCAAATTACTTTGGTAACCTGGGTTTCTTTATCCTTAAAATGGGAATGTTATTACCCTGCCTTACAAAGTGGTAAAAATTAATGAAAAGAATGCTCATAAAGTGTTTGGCCTGGAAGTTGGCACACAGTAAGTGTTTATTATTCTAGTAGCTCTTTATTATCTTATTTGATTTTTACCATAATTTTGTAAGATACTCAGGGCAGAGGTGAGCTCTGTTTTACAGCTGAGGAAACTGAGGCCCAGTGAAAAACTAAATGTAGATGCCAGGAGTAGAATTCAGGTCTTTACAGTGTCAAACACAAGGCAGGCTATTCTTCAAAGGCAGATGGCAAGTCCTTTTTTTGGTAGCCATTGTGACACGGCGGCTTCACAGCGATGGTGCCCTGTGATGGTAGAATGATAATGGAAGGGGTGCGGCCGTGCAGAGGAAAAGTCGGTAGGAGGCTCTTTTCTTCCTTTCTTTTCTTTTTTTTTTTTTTTTTTTGGAGATAGAGTGTCTCGCTCTGTTACCCAGGTTGGAGTACAGTGGTGGCGCAATCTCGGCTCACCGCAAGCTCCGCCTCCCACGTTCACGCCATTCTCCTGCCTCAGCCTCCCGAGTAGCTGGGACTACAGGCACCCACCCTCCCACCACTCCCAGCTAATTTTTTGTATTTTTAGTAGAGACAGGGTTTCACCATGTTGGTGAGGCTGGTCTCGATCTCCCGACCTCGTGATCCACCTGCCTCGGCCTCCCAAAGTGCTGGGATTACAGGTATGAGCCACCGCGCCTGGCCTGGTAGAAGGCTCTTTTCCACATAAAGTCACACAAAGACTTAGTCAATGTGTGGTTGGAATTCCTCCTTCCCCCTTTTGCCTCCCCTCTTTCTCTCCCTCCTCTCTTTCTCTCCCTCTCTCTTTCCCTCCCTTTCTTCCAGAAGCATTCCTTTTTAAAAAACTGTTTTTTAAATAACTCTGCTGTTTTGTATGGAATGCTTCATGAATTTGTGTGTCATCCTTGTGCAGGGGCCGTGCTCATCTTCTTTGTATCGATCCAGTTTTTAGTACATGTGCTGCTGAAGCGAGCACCACAAGCATTCTTTTATTGATTGATTGAGATAAGGTCTTGCTCTATCACTCAGAATAGAGTGTAGTGCCGCGATCTTGGCTCACTGCAACCTCTACCTCCCGGGTTCAAGTGATTCTCCTGCCTCAGCCTCCCTAGTAGCCGGGACTACAGTCATGCATCACCACACCTGGCCAATTTTTTTTTTTTTTTGTATTTTAGTAGAGACGTGGTTTTACCATGTTGGCCAGGCTGGCCTTGAACTCCTGACCTCAGGTGATCCACCCACCTTGGCCTCCCAAAGTGCTAGGATTACAGGCGTGAGCCCTGTACCCGGCCCTGGTTAATTTTTGCTAATTTTTTTGGCAAAGCCAGTCTGGGGAACTTCTGGTCTAGTTCACGGTGCAGCTGAGAGAGCTGTGGCTCAGAGCCAGGAAGGAACTTGCCCTGGGTCAAACAGCCAGGAAATGGCAGTCTAGACCAGAAAACACATCTCCTGATTCTGTGCTCCTCTCACTGTGTCTCCCAAACACAGAACAAGAACTGATTTTATTTTTATTTATTTATTTATTTTCTTGAGACGTAGTCTTGCTCTGTTGCCCAGGCTGGGGTGTAGCAGTATGATTTCAGCTCACTGCAACTTCTGCCTCCTAGGTTCAAATGATTCTCCTGCCTCAGCCTCCCCCAGTAGCTGGGATTAAAGGCATCCATCACCTCACCTGGCTAATTTTTGGGTACTTTTAGTAGAGATGGAGTTTTGCCATGTGCTAGGCTGTCTCGAATGCCTGACCTCAGGTGATTCACCCACCTCGGCCTCTCAAAGTGTTGGGATTACAGACAGGCGTGAGCCACCGTGCTCAGTCAAGAACTGAATTTAACTTGCAACAGGAACACTCCAGGTAGAGTTAAGAATTTCTTGGCTATTCATATGTATTAGTTAGGTTATTTTTTAAAATTTTCTATTTTTGAGACAGGGTCTCTTTCTGTTGCCCAGGCTGCAGTGCAGTGGTATAATCACAGCTCACTGTAGCCTCAACCTCCCAGGTTCAAGCAATCCTCCTACCTCAACCGCCCACGTAGTTGGGGACCACAGGTGCACGGTACTATGCCCAGCTAAATTTTAATTTTTTTTTAGAGACGGGGTTTCACTATGTTGCCCAGGCTGGTCTTGAATTCCTGGGCTCAAGTAATCCTCCCACCTTGGCCTCCCAAAGTGCTAGGATTACAGGCATGAGCCACTGTGCCAGCCTAGTCAGCTTTTTTTTTTTTTTTTTTTTGAGACGGAGTTTCGCTGTTGTTGCCCAGGCTGGAGTGCGATGGCGCAATCTCGGCTCACTACAACCTCCGCCTCCTGGGTTCAAGTGATTCGCCTGTCTTCGCCTCCCAAGTAGCTGGGATTACAGGCGCATGCCACCATGCCCGGCTAACTTTTGTATTTTTAGTAGAGACTGGGTTTCATCATATTGGTCAGGCTGGTCTCGAACTCCTGACCTCAGGTGATCCGCCCGCCTCAGCCTCTCAAAGTGCTGGGATTATAGGTGTGAGACACTGTGCCCGGCCCTAGTCAGGTTTTTTGATTGCAAAAGATGGGAACTGATTCTGTCTAATTAAATCAGGAAATGAATTTTATTCAAAGCACATTGAGTAAGTTACAGAATCATTGGAAGGCTGTAGAAACAAGGCTTGGGAAATAAGCAAAAACACGGAGAGACCAGGTACCTAGAATTACAACAAATCCCATCACAGAGCCAGGTAGGTGAGGACAGCCTCAGTGCTGCTGCTGCTGAGTGCCCAGTGCTCCTGCCTTCATCACAGCCACAGCTGGCATTGGACGCTGGATGCCATGCTGACCCCAATGGCAAGGCTGTCTGGACACTGGATACTGCTGCCACTGCTGCAACCACTGTAAAGAATTTTTTCCATCCCCACCTCCAGCCTCAGAAATCCTACGCAAATGCAGCTGGTTGGTCAAGCGTAGGTGACTAGCTGCCTCGGGACATGTGAAAGTGAATATTGGGCATGGTTAATGTCTGTAATGGCAGCCGTTTCCTGCTGTCCACCAGGAGAAGATAAATTCCCCAAGAAAACTGACAAATGACGACTACATACATGTTGTCAAAGAATACACTGAAAGTCCTTGACATTTGCAGAT